CACATATTGTTTTATGACATTGGTTAACAACCCCACGACATGTCAACACTCTCCCTTCTTGACCTTGGAGGACCTTTTTTTTTTTTTTGATGAAAATATACACAGTATTATTTTAATTTTGATGATGTCCAATTTATAAATTTTCTTTTTATGAATAATGCTTTGGTGTCATGTTTAAGAACATTTCAACAAGCTTTAGGTCCTGAAGATTTTCTCCAAAATTATATACTAGAAATTATATAGTTTTACATTTTTCATGTAAATTTATGATCAATTTTGAGTTAATGTTTTATAAGTTGTGAGATTTAGGTCAAGATTTTGATTTTTTTTTCTTTGGTTCTCCCTGTAGATATAAATTTCTTCAATAAAATATGTTTAAAAGACTACCGTTTATCCATTGAATTGCAACTTGTGTGTAAATATATTTCGTTCCTCTGTTTTGTTCCATTGATTTATTGGTCTATAACTCCACTGATGTCACATGACAGTCTTGAAATCTGATAGACTGATTCTTTTCATTCTTTTTCAAATTTGTTTTTAGCAATCTATTTCCTTTGCCTCGGTATGTACATTTTAGAGTAATTTTATCTGTAGCTATAAAAATTGCTGGGATTTTCATAGGAATTGTGTTAAACCTATATGTCAATTTAGAGAAAATTGATGTCTTTATAATGTTAAGTCTTATTATTTATGAACACAGGATGTCTCTCCATTTACTTAGGTCTTACCTAATATTTTAAATTAGTGTTTTATAGTTTTTAGCATATAGTTTGGAACAGGAAAATTGATTTAAATTATTCTAAAGGGTGTTTTCTTTTTAATTTTGTTGTGAAAATTGCTAGTATATGTAAATATAATTGACTTTTGTTTGTTGATCCTGTATCCTGTGACCTTGCTGAACTAATATATTAGGTCTAGTAGGTTTTGGGGGTTTTTTGTATGTTTTTATTGTTTTTGGTAGAGTTCTTGGAATTTTTACCAAAAATATTAATTTGAAAATAGCGGCAGTTTTATTTATTTTCCAATCTGAATGCTTTCTTTTTTGCCTCACTGCACTGTCTAGAACTTCCAGTATTATGTTGAGTAGCAGTGGAGAGAGTAAACAGTCTTCCCTGGTTTCTGATCATAAGGAGAAAGCATCTTGTATTTTGTAAATAAGTATGAACTTAGCTGTAGGATTTTTTGTAAATGTTCTTTATTAAATTAAGGGAATTTATCTCTATTCCTATTTATCTGAGAGTTGTTATCATGAATGGATGTTGAATATAGTCAAATGCATTTTCTGCATCAATTGATATAATCATGTGATTTTTTGTTTTTTGCCTATTAATATGATGTATTTTGCTGTATGATTTTCAAATGATGAACAAGCCTTAATCCCTGGAATAAATCCCACATGTACTGGTGTATAAATATTTTATGCATTGCTAAAATCTCTTCGTTAATAGTTTGTTAAGAATGTTTGCGTCTACTTTCATGAGGGAGATAGCTCCTTAGATTTTTGTTTCCTTTTGTTTTGTTTTTTGTATTGTCTTTCTTGTTTTGGTATCAGATTTATACAGGCTTCAAGCAATGTGTTAGAAAATGTTTCTACTTCTTCAGTTTTGAGAAAGAATGCATAAAATTGTTAATTTTTCTGTAAATGTTAGGGATAATTCTCCAATGAAACAACTTGGGCATGGATATTCTTTTTCTGGAAGATGTTTAATCGAAAATGCAATTCCTTTACAGTCTTATAAGACTACTCAGATTATCTAATTCTTCCTGGGTGAATTGTAGTAGTTTTTGGCTTTTGAGGAATTGTTTGATTTCTTCTCATTTGTTGCATTTATGGGTGTAAAGTTATTTGTAATAATCCCCTTATTATCCTATCAATGACTAAAGTTTCTCTAGTGAAAGCTCCTTTTTCATTCTTAATCTTGATAATTTGTGTGTATTTTAATCATTTTCACTTTACTAGATACCTGTAAATTTTTTAATCTTTTCAAAGACTAGCTCTTTTGCATAGATTTTCTTTACTGTTTTTCTATTTTTAAAATCATTGAAATTCACTCTTCGTTATTTCCTTACATTTGCTTGTTGTAGGTTAATTTTCCTGTATTTGAGGTGGAAACTTAGAATATTGATTTGAGACTTTTCCTCTGTTCCAATATATGCATTTAGTTTTATAAATTTCCATCTTATGACGGTCTTACCTGCATCCACAAATTTTGATTGTTGAAATTTCCTTTATATTCAGTTTTTGTGTGTGTATGTTTAGTAGACAAATTTTTAGAGCACTTTGAGCTTGACAGAAAAATTGTGCATAAAAAGCAGTTTCCATATACCTCCCTCTCCCTTTCACACTACTTCTATTATTAACATTTTATTCCTGTGGTACATTTGTTGCAATTGATGAACCAACATCAACACATTATTATTAACTAAGGTCCATAGGTCACATTAGGATTCACAATTTGTGTTGTGCAGTCCTATGAATTTGACAAATCCACCATTATAATATCATCACTGGCCTGGTTTTATTCTCTTGTGTCTCCATTGCATTATGTAAGCAATCCAGCAAGTTTTTTTTTTTTTTTTTTTGGATATTTTATTTTTCAGGTTTATAATTTCCATTTGGTTCTTTTTTAATAACTTGCTGTTTTTTGGCTGAGATTTTTCAAGTTTTCATTTGTTTCAAGAGAATTTGTAATTGCTGTTGAAACATTTTTATTATGGTTGCTTTAAAACCCTTATTAGATAATTACATCATGTGATTAATCTCATTCTTAACATTGATTATTTTTCTCATTCAAATTGTGATTTTCCTGAACTATAGTATGACATAATTCTTTAAAAATTTTATTGTGGTCGTTTTGATTATTATGTTAGAAGACTATGGGTCTTTTTTTTTTTGCTTTTATGTAACTATTTTATTTTATTTTTTATTGTACTTCAGGTGAAGGCTTACAGAACAAATAGTTTCTCATGAAACAGAAATACATATGTTGTTTTATGACATTGGTTAACAACCCCACAACATATCAACCCTCTAACTTCTCAAACTCTTTTTTTTTTTTTTGGTGAAAATACACATAGCCAAAGATACACCATTTCAAAAATGTCTGCATGCACAGTTCAGTGACATTGACTACTCTCTTCCAATTGTGCTGTTATTCTCACTTAAGATGAAGGTTTACAGAACAAAATAGCTTCTCATTTAACAGTTACTACAAATGTTGCCCTATGACAATGGTTAACAATCTCACAACACATCAACAATATCCTTACTCAACCTTCGGTTCCCTATCACGAGCTTCCTTGTCCCCTTCTGCCTTCTGGCCCTTGTCACTGAACTGCACAGCGTTAGTCTCATTTGGTTTTACGGGGCTGTCCACACCCAGGCTGAACAGTGAACCTTGGAGGTAACTTCACCACTGAGCTAAAAGGGTGTCTGGGGACCATACTGTCGGGGTTTCTCCAGTCACCTTTAGGCCAGTAAATCTGGTCTTTTTTTTTGTGAGTTAGAATTATGCTCTACATCCTTCTCCATCTCTGTCCAGAACCCTCTGTTGTGATCCTGGTGAGAGCAGTCAGTGGTGGTAGCCGGGCACCATCTAACTGTACTGGACTCAGTCCGGTGGAGGCCTTGGTAGCTGTGGACAATTATTCCTATCACAAAGACTCGTCTAGCTTTTTGGGTTGTGGTTCCATTCAGAATCTAATTTTTAAGCCTCCGTGGTGGTATTTTGGTCTGTTTGGTATTACATGTGCCACCTGGGTCTCACTTTTGCCTGCTCGTGTGACTCGATAGCGCATAAGGAGCTTCCTCAGGCCAGGCTTCTTGGAACCCCTAAGTGCAGGAAGGGGTCTTTTGTCTAGTGGAGACTAAACACTTCTTGCGTGGTGCTGGTTATGGAGGAAGACCCCTGCCTATGGAAGACAGGGAATGCCTCCTGGGAGACTGTCCTTTGGGCAGGATTGCCATCATTGGGGGTGTTTCTCTGTAAAGTAGTGTCCCTGGGTGGGGGAGACAGTCTCAAGCCCATGGAGTCTAAGAGAAACCTCAACACTCTTTGTGATGGGAACCCCTACTGGGGCCCCTGGCTACAAAGTCTGATTTGATCAGGAAGGGGATTCTCACGACTAGTGAGAAAGAGAGGGTTTCCAGCCTAGGTGCTTGCTGAGACATGACGCCCCTTGCTGGTGTCCCCAGCCCCACTAATATCTTTGGTGGGGTAGAGAAGTCTCAGGCCTTGAGGAAAGGAGAGGTCTCTTCAGACACTTACTGTCCTCAGGTTTCTGATCTGTCCGCTCTGCTGGTTCTGGTTCTATCAGATTTATTTGGTGGTGGTAAGACTACTTTTGATCCAGAGCCAGAATCAGCTCACCTGGGCTGTCTTCCGTTGTTATGTTGGGGATCAGAAAAAGCAAGACTGGATTGTCTCCCTCTGTTGACTAGGAGGATATAAGATGCCTCATCAGTCTGCTGTTCTCCAGTCCTGGGATCCATAACAATTTCAGAGGTCTCCTTTGATTATCTTCTGCAGTTTTCCCCCAGGCTTATGGTTGTTCTTATTGGAGTAGAGCAGTGAGAAATGAGTCTATTCCACCTTGTCGAGACCAAAATTCATTCTACCTTGTTTTGATAGCCAATTCTTTGATCCTTGAGGTTGAACATTTCTCTATATGTTTGACACCAAATTATATTTTCATATTTATACTTGCTGCTTCACGAATTATTCTTAATTCTCCCATTAATCTGTATGAAAGCTTACATTTATAAACATATTTTTCCAGTTATTATTGCTGCATATAACTCCCCAGGTTGTTGTACTTCTTTTATGTTGATGGCTATAATCCTGTACAGTGAGATAATTTATTCCATCTATCTTTCAAAAAATGTTCCCGACTACTAGGTGAAAAAGGTGACTAATGATTTCATGTTTCTGTAATCATATATAAAAGTTTGCAAACATTCAGATAGTGATAACATTTTTATTTTATTTTATTTTACTTAGGTTCAGGTTCTTCGGAATGCTGGAGAAGAAGTGACTTTAACAGTATCATTTTTAAAAAGAGCACCTGCTTTCCTCAAACTCCTGTTGAATGAAGACTGTGCATGTAAGCATTTATGAAGAGTGAATAGAATGCTCACGTCATCATTTTCCCTTTCTAACCATTATTTATAGAAAGTAATTAGCAATTTCTTTTTAAAGTTGGGTTTTCTGCCTAAATATAAACATTTTTATATCACAAACTGTCCTATTAGCCCCATAGGAAAAAGGGAGGAGATGCTATGCAGAAGTTATTCACCACACTTGGAGTTGTTTTCCAATGTTATGATTGGAGAAGCATATTTATTTAAAACCTGAGTAACATATCAAATATACATACTTTCCGTATTTATTAAATTTCACTCATAATATTTGGTGAATATATATTCTCTAACCAGAAAATTGCATACTCTTATTTGAGTACTGGATTACTTTTTAAAAACTTACATTTATGTTGCCTCAATATGAACAACAACAAAAAAAACCATTGTCATCCAGTCAATTTCAACTCATAGCGACTCTATAGGACAGAGTAGAACTGCCCCATAAGTCTTACAAGGAGAATAGGAAGAGAGAATTAAACCCTTGCCTACATGGTTATGTAATAATTTACATAATACTTACTTAAAATTTTCAGTATCAGTTTTCTTTCATTGTTCTTTTTCTGAAAATAAATGTAATCAATAACCTTGCAAAAACAAATCAAAGGACACGTTTTTGAACAGAGGCATAATTTAAATGCAATGAAATGCAAAGACGTTGTGTGTACAGTGGAATCAGTTTTGACAAATGCATACGCTTACTTAACCAACACTCCTACAAATCACAAAATAGATCCTCTGTGCCTCTTCTCATTAAATCGCATCCCAGAAACAACTATTCATTTAATATCATTAATCATAGACTGTTTTTGCCTTTTCTAGGACTTCATATAATTGAATCATACTGTATTTTTTTTTCTCGCCTATTTCCTTCTGCACAATGTCTTTTAGATTCACCCATTATATATATTTCAGTAGTTTGTTCATTCATATTGCAGTGGAGTATTTCATTGTATGATAAAGTGTGTTAATCCATTCACCTGTTGTTAGACACCACGGCTGTTTCCAGTATTTTGCTATTATGAAGAAAGCTGTTATGACCATTCTTATCAACACTTTTTGCAGATTTATATTTTTACATCAGTACAAGAACAGGAAAGATCTATGATTAACATACTAATAAATTACCAAACACATTTCCAAAGTGGCTACATTTTAAATCACCTCCTGCTATCCACTCCAGCAATGTATGAGAGTCTGGTTGCTCCACATTATTTCCAATGTTTGATGATCGACCAGTTCTTTTTAGTCAATCTGTTGAATATTATGGTAATTTTGAGTTTCCCTGATTAATAATGCTGATAAGCTCTTTTACATTTGCTTATTGGCCACTTGTTTTATCTTCTTTTATAATGTGTTTGCTCAAATCTTTTGGGACTGTTTTCTATTGGTTAGTCTTTTTCACTCTTAAATTGTACAGGTTTTCAAAAAAATCTTATGTGTATAGACATTTTACTAGATATATGTATTGCAAATGTATTCTCCCATCCTGTGAATACTTTTTTTAAGCCTAAGGGTGCCTATTTGTGAGCCATAAAAAAAATTAAAATGTTGCAGTTGAGTCAATTCTGACTCATAGCGACCCTATAAGACAGAGTAGAACTGCCCCATAAGATTTCCAAGGAGCAGCTGGTGGATTGGAACTGCCAACCTTTGCTTAGCAGTGGAGCTCTTAACCACTGCACCAACAGGGCTCCTATTTGTCAGCAGGAGTTTTTAATTCTAATAAAGTCCAATTTGCTAATTTTTGTGGGTATTATTGTTGTATATGGTTTTTGTTTTTCTATATTCTCTCTAAGAAACATTTGACTACCCCCAAGGTCATAGAGAAAGCCCCCATGTTTCTTCTGGAAGCTTTTATAGCTTTGGCTTTTACGATTAGTCCTATAATACTTCTAATATTAATTCCATGCATGTCTTTGTGTGTGTTAGGAATCAAGATAAAGGATGGATAGACATACATATATATCCAGCTATTACAGAATCATCTTTTGTATGTTTTCCATTTGCTAATACAGTGAAACCTGTCAGAGCCTGAGCTTGATGGGATTTCCTTGTTTTTCTAGGTCTTGCACATTGTCTGCCTTTGGCAGGGTGCAGTCTTACCACTTTTCTATCACTTGTTTTTGTGGAAAATGCTTGAGTTTTCCTTCTCTGGCACATTTCCACCTTACACAGATTCTGGCTTTCACAGGTTTACTGAATCATTTTAAGAAATATTTTTCTCTGTGTTCATGAAGGACACTCATCTGTACTTTTTTTATTGTTTTTGAAAATATACACATCAACACAAATATCAATTCAATAATTTTTACATGTACAATACAGTGACCTTGATTACACTCTTCAAATTGTGCAGCCTTTCTCATCCTCCTTTTCTGATTTGTTCCTCCCTTATTGACATAAACTCACTTCCCCTCATCTTCCTATCTAACCTTTCCAGGTGCTGTTATCAACTGATCCCATGTAGTAAGTTCTTAAAAAAGCACAATGCTCACTACAGACGTTCTTTACTGCTTAAGCTAGACTGTTGTTTGGTTTAAAGAAGGCTTCAGGTGGTATTTTTGGTTTATGGTTTCTTGGTTAAAAATTATCTAAAAGTAGTTTTTTTGGGCTTTCATCCAACCTCAATGGCTCCAGAAGATCTGAATTTCATGAGAATTGAAATTTTGTTCTGCATTTTTTGCCCTTTGAATCAGGACTCTTCTTGATAATCTTTGCTCAAAACATTAAGTAATGGTAGCCAGACAGCATTCAGTTCTTCTAGTCTCATGGCAAAGGAGGCAGTTGTTCATAGAGGCAATCAACCATGCATTCCATTCCCTACTCCTATGCCTGACTCTTCTTCTTCCTCTGTTGCTCCAGGTGAATAGAGACAAATTTTTGTACCCTGGATGGCTGCTTGCAAGATTTTAAGACCCCTAGCACTACACAACAAACTGGGAGGTAGAACAGAAATGTTAAAAACAATATCAGACCGATTACTTGGAATGTTCCATGAGACCCTGAATCTAAACCCCAAACCAATTAAAAAAATCTATTCAGCAGCTACTCTTTTTTTGTTGTTTTATATATATATATATATAACAACAACAAAAGAGTTGTATATATATGTGTGTGTGTGTGATAAACTGTGATATACATGGATATATGTACTTATGTATATCGTATATATAACATGCTGCATTTATATATATATATATATCATACTGCATTTGCCAGTTTAACTTATTACAGTTGTACACTTTAGTGACATTAATTATACAAATCAGTTATGCATCCATTTTCCTTAATCAGTTCAATTTTTCCATCACCATAAACAGAAACTCAGTGTTCCCTAGGCAATAACCCTCCCTTTCTGCCTCCCTTTCACCCCTGGTGAGCACTAATAAACATTGATCTCTATACATTTGCCTTTTCTTGTCTTTTCTTGTAAGTGAGCTCATACACTATTTATCCATTTTGATTGACTTATTTCACTCAGTATAAAGTCAAGCCCCATCCATACTATGGCATGTATCAGGACTTCATTTCTCGTAGGTACCGCATTTTTTTATTTATCCATTCACCCATTGATACGCATTTAGGTTGTTCCCATTCTTTGGCTATTGTGAATAGTGTCGTAATGAACATTAGTGTACATATGTCTGTTTGCATTGCTGCTTTCAAGTCCCTTAGGTATATTTCTAGCAGTTGATTTGCCGGGTTAAACGGTAGTTCTGGAAACCCTGGTGGCATAGTGGTCAAGTACTACAGCTGCTAACCAAGAGGTCAGCAGTTTGAATCTGCCAGGCACTCCTTGGAAACTATGGGGCAGTTCTACTCTGTCCTATAGGGTCGTTATGAGTCAGAAACAACTCGATGGCAACGGTTATGGTAGTTCTATTTTTAGTTTTTTGAGAAACTGTCACACTGTTTTCCACAAAGGCTTTATCATTTTGCAATCCCACCAGCAACAGATAAGGGTTACAACATTCCCACATACTCACCAAGATTTGATATTTTTCTTTTTTTTTTTTTTATATCTTGGCCTAGTTGGAGTGAAATTATATGCTATTGGTTTTGACTTGCATCTTTTTTTTATTGTTGTAATTTAAATGAAGTTTACATTTCAAGTAAGTCTCCCATATGAAATTTTATACATACATTGTTATGTGACCCTAATTGATCACCTCATTCTGTGACAGCACACTCCTCCTTTCCGCCCCTGATTCCCCATGTCTGTTCAACCAGCTCCTAAACCTCTCTGCCTTCCCATCTCACCTTTGGACAGAAGCTGCGCCTTTGTTCTCTTGTATCTACTTGACTAAGAGGCATACGCTTCACGAGAATCACTTTATGTCCCAAACTCCAGTCCAATCCCTGTCAGAAGAGTTGGCCTCAGAAATTGTTTTAGTTTTGGGCTGATAGAGAATCCAGGGGTCATGCTTTCCAGGGTACCTCCAGTCTCACACCATTAAGTCTGGTCTTCTTACTAGAATTTGAGTTCTGCACCCCATCTTCCTGCTGCTCCATCAGGGACTCTCTGTTGTATTCCCTGTCAGGGCAGTCATTGGTGGTAGCCGGGCACCATCTAGTTCTTCTGGTCTCAGGCTGATGAAGTCTCTGTTTTATGTGGCCCTGTCTGTCTCTTCGGCTGATACATTCTTTGTGTCTTCGGTGTTCTTCATTCTCCTTTACTCCAGGTGGTTGGGACCAATTGATGCATTTAGATGGCCACTTGCAAGCTTTTAAGACCTCAGATGCCACTCACCAAAGTAGCCTGCAGAACATTTTCTTAATAAGCTTTGTTATGCCAACTGACATAGATGTCCCCTGAAAGCATGGTCCCCAGACCCCTACTCCTGCTACTCGTCTCTCAAAGTATTTCTTTTTTATTTATTTATTTTCTTTTTTTATATATTTTATTGTACTTCAGGTGAAGACTTACAGAACAAATAGTTTCTCATGAAACAGTAGTACATAT